TGGGCATTGACCAAGGCAGCTCTTTGGAAAGAAGCCAGGCCTGAGCCCTGATGGGAAATGGTGGCTGACATGACTTTAACTAGAGTACACTCTGGTATACTCCTTGTGAGGCTGGGGGCAGTCAGTCCTTGGCTTTGAGAGCCTCTATAGGCTACCACCCTCCGACACGTCACTTTCTCTGACAGGGGTGGAGGCTGCAGAGCCCTCTCTTACCCATTGCATGGAGGTTTGGTGAGGGTCTTGAATAAGCTTTTACCCAGGTCCTTGGTCTTAGTGTGTTGAATTATTCTCTTCCCTCTGAAGCCAGGGATATTTGAAAATGTTGTGTCCCCAGTAGGAAGTTTGGTGATGAATATTTTCAATCTCATGAACAGAATTCAGATGAATATCATCAAATTTTAGCCTCATTTAAAATACTTTCTGGTATTTTAATTTCTCCATTTGCAAAGCAGAAACAAAATGAAGCGTGCGTGTGCTCTCTCGTTCTCTCTTGCTTGTTCTCTCTCTCTCTCTCTCTCTCTGTGTGTTTGTGTGTGTGTAAATTAAACATTAGGCCTAGACTGGAGGAAAGAAATGCGGTGCCTTGAGCTCTTTCATTTAGCAAATATTTGTTAGGTACCTCTGGTCCACCTGTCCATGCACTGGATCCTGATGATGCGGGAATCACATTCACCACCCTTTGGACCCCTGCAGAGCAGCACAGAACACACCCAGCAAAGGGCTTAACCAATGACAGGTCACAGCAGGGTGAGTGGTGAGAAATAAGTTCTGACGTACAGGCTATAGTGCTCAAGGGAGCAAACAAAAGAGAATAGAATTTCACCTGAACTTTGAAGGACAGATGGGACTTTGAGAGCTGGAGATGGAGGTACCTGGGTGCAGAGGGCGTTCCAGTTGAAAAGAATAAAAATAGTATGCCAGTACTTACTGTACTTACCTGCTTGCCATGTGGGGTAAGACAGGCATTACGCACTTCATGACAAGTTCATTGTTTAGCCCATTTGAGGATTTGAGGCATGAGGAAAGTACAGCTTCGAAGGTTGAACTACCTTGCCTGAGGTACCCTGGCAGTACAGCTTTAAAGGTAGAACTATCTTGCCCGAGGTCCCCTGGCTGAACGTGCAGAAGCTAGGATTTAAGAGACTGATGCCCAAACCCATGTTCTTTCCCCTTGAGTGGTGTAGTGACTGAGGAGGGAGGCGTTTGGAGAATGGGAAGGGGTCCAGTTGCCTGTAGCTAAGGGAGGAGGGAAGAATATGCTTGTGGAAGGCTATGGAGGACTGAATACCTGGCCACTGAGCCTAGGATTTCGGATTTCATTCTGAAGGCAATGATGAATCACTGGGGGGGTTGTAAGCACAAGACGCAATGGTTCGAGGGGCACAGTGGCCCCCGTAGAAGGGGTAGGTGTTAGTCGGTGCTGGAAGGAGTGTTGCAGTGAAGCTTAGGGGGCTCCTGCAGGAGGAAGGGTGGGCTCGGGTCAAGTGCTGGAGCATCAAGTGAGCAGCTTCCGGCATGTGTACCTGGTTTATGCTGCAGTAGTAAAGAAAGTCCTCCACTCAGTGCTCAGGTTTGAGTTCTTTAATCTCCAAAGACGGTAGGTATTTTATGCAGAGATTTTTTTTTCCTCTTTTTTATGAGCAGGGGAAAGGGGGAATTTGGGGTTAACTAGTTAAAGAGCCAAAGCCACACCTATAATCCCAGCACTTTGGGAGGATTGCTTGAGTTCGGGAGTGCGAGACCAATCTGGGCAACATAGTGAGACCCCATCTCTACAAAAAAAGAAAAAAATTGCCTAGAGTGGTGGCATACACTAATAGTCCCAGCTACTCAGGAGGCTGAGGTGGGAGGATTCCTTGACCCCAAAAGTCTCGGGTTGCAAGTGAGCTATGATCATGTCACTGCACTCCAGCCTAGGTGACAGAGTGAGGCCCTGCCACTTAAAAAATAAAAAAGTCCAGGCCGTCTCTCACTTCAAGATTCCTTCTTGAAGATGAAAGAAGGGAAGCGTGTTGGAGAGAGCCATCTGCTTAACTCACAAGCCCCTCAATCTGTGCCCATCCTTGGGGTTGAGGGGCCCCAAGAATTACAAGGGAGAATTTGTCATCTGCTTCCTTAAGAGGCTCTCTTGATATTCCCCACTCCTGCCAAGTTAGACATTGATGAATGCAATCATCTGTACCTCTACACACACACACACACACACATACATACATACATACATACCCCAACCACCCTATTTTTAAAATTGTCAGGAACAAAAACCAACTGAGGATGTCTCAGGACGCCATAAACCAAAATAGTAGCTGGAAAAAAACAGTGATGTGGGTCCTAGATTTAAGATTCGTAAAATGATAGTTTCCAAAAATATTTCTAATGAGAACAATCATATGTTAGTTACTTAATTTTGCCAAGTAAAGCTGTTGTTTTAAATAAAGAATATCCTTTAAATTGCACACATTTACCCTCATGAAAATCTCTCTAAGGAGCTTCAGTTCCCTTTCTGTGCCCTCCGGCCACAGGAGGTAGCTCACCAGTCTCCCCCTGGGGAGCAAGGAAGGGCCAAGGAGGAAGGAAGGGCAATGAAGAACACCTTGCTGTGCTGAGCCGGCCACTTCCCTCTTCCCACCCCCCAGTCTTTTGAGGACATGTGCCAGCCTCCCCTCCTCCGCCCCGCCTTGGAACTGAGGCTTTGTGTCTTGATTCTTAGAACCTCTGATAGGTCTGCATGGGACCTACTTGCCCGGCCATGGCTTTTGAGAGTAGCATATGACCCCCAAAATTTAAAAAGTGCACCTTCCAATAAGTCACCATGTGGGTGCTGGTCTTTTAAAGATCATATGGAAGATTTTGTGTGTGGTCTGTATTTAAAGCCTTAACATAGAAATGACAGGAAACTGGAACAGATCCATTGGAGGTAATTGAGTCCAACCTCATCTTTTTATAGGAAAAACAGCGAGCCCCCAAGGGAACCAGCCGCTGGCCTCGGTGCTGGCCTGGTGCTCAGGTTTTCCTCCTAAGCCTTCATCCTAAAGTGACCCAGCAGCACACTAGATGCCTGTGTTGGTCTTTGGCCAGGAAAACTCTTTAACTCTTCATGCTTTTCTGTGTGTAGAAGGTGACAAAGCAGAAGGAAAGTGGCAAAAAGGAAGTTAATAGAAGAGCGGTCAGATAGCAGGCAGGGCGCTCACTGAGTGCAGCGGCTATACCTGCTTTGCGCATTTCTGAAATTAGACTGGGTGGAAGCACTGTGATATTTCTCAGATCCTTGTGATCACCTGCTGTTCCCCGGAGAGCATCTACCGTGCACCAGGACAGACTCTGTGTTCAAGGACAGTGGGGAGTGTGTGGCCGGGAGCCTCTTGAGTCCTGTGTTCTCAGTTTCCCCTTTCCCAAAGTGCCACTGGTAGGTGGACCATTTCAAATGTGAGGCTCAGTAGCATGAAGGTAGTGGTTCCCAGTGCACATTGAAATTACATTGAGCTTTGGAAAGGGCCCCTCAAGATTCTGGCTCAGTGGTCTTGGGATGAGGCCAAGCATGAGCAATGTTTAAAATTCCTCAGGTGATCCTGTTACACAGCTGGAATGGGACCCACAGCTTTAAGCTAGTGATTTCCAAACTTCAGCTGCCGCAGAATCACCTGTCAAAGCACACTGCTGGGCTTCGCGCCCAGATATGTCTGACTCAGGAGGCCCAGGGTGGGGCCTCAGGTTGTGTATTTTTAGCAACTTCCTGAGTATTGTCGGTACAGCTAGTGGGGACTATACTTTGAGAACCCCAGCACTGACTCTCACAGGGGTCTGTGACCCAGGACTCTGAGGCCCACCTTGGTGTTCCATTCCCAGAGTTCTAGATCCTGAAAGTAGGGGGTAGGTTCAAGGTTTGCATTTCTGTAAGTTCCCACATGATGCTGCTGCCACAGAACTGGGGAAGTCTTGAGAGCCAGGGACCAGTTCCTTGTGCTGGACACCAGGATGAGGTCAGCACCTCAGATGTCACTAGGAAAACTCGAGGCTGCCCTGGGCTTCAGGAGAAAGCTGAAGAGGAGCCCACAGTTTACGTGGAGAAGAGCATCTCAGAGGCGTTTGTCTAGAGCATGGTGGATGGACCGTGTAGAGATACACTGGGTGGTGAAATCAAACCTTCCGTCTGGATGTTAGAGTGGGTCCTAGGTCTCCCCTAGTCATTCGTTGTCACTGTGTGCCAAGGAGGAAGCTGAGGTCTGCTCCCTGAACCGGTGATAACTACAGGGCTATCAGGTAGAGCTTGCACCCCAGTCCTGGGTTCCTTTCTGTGACACCACAGTGCCTACCATGCCGCAGGTGCATCTGGAGGTGTGGGCACGATTTCCTCAATCTGCCAAAGTCCAATTCATGCATCCATAGGATGTCCAGCAACAAGAAATCCTGAAGAAGATGATGGTAGATGAAGTATCTCTGGGCCTACAGCTGTGGCTCTCAGAGTGTGGTACCCGGATCAATAGCATCAGTATCCTCTGGAACTGCTTAGACGTATAAATTCTTGGCCCCCAAACCTAGTGGATCAGAAGCCCCAGAGATCTATGGTTTCACTTGCCCTTCAGGTGGTCCTGATGATGCACAGTCAAGTCTGAGGAATAAAAAAATAGGGAAAGCAGCCTGAGATGGGGGGGGGGCACCAGGGCAAGGAGGTCATGATAGGAGGTGGGGGTGGGGCTGGGGATTCTGCAGAGGCAGCATGGTAAGGGTAGGCTGTCTGAAGACCACAGCCCAGGCACGACTCCAGACCCACTCCTTAGTCTGTCATTGTGTCTGCACCTCAGAACATCAAGGCTCACGTCTTGAAGATGTCCCCTTTGTTCACACTTCCCTACAGTTCTTTTTTTTTTTTTCTTGGAGCAAACTTGTCTCAGCACAACCCAAGGTAAATGTTCACAGTTTCTGGAACGACTGAAGCGTCATCAAGTAGGGCTTCATGTGGTTCTGACAGTGTCGGTGACTGACTTTTTCTTCTTTTTCAGTTAGTGACAGGAGTATGGGAAGGCAGATACAACTTCTTCTGTCAGGGCACACGCAGTGCGGGGGAATCAGACATGAAGGTATTGTCTCTCTTTTTAAAAATACGTACCTATTATATCCTGCTTTTTTTTTTAAATAAGGAAATTGTACAAAAGACAAGATGGTTCATAACCTCACTTCTAGGTAATGCTGTTGACATTTTTAAAAGAATGAAAAAGACAATGTGTACACAGGGTATGAGAATTTGAACAACATGAAAGGTATAAAATGAAAACCAAACCATCCCTATTTGTGAAAATAACTCCTATTAACAGTTAACTGGGGAGAAAATACTGCATTTATCAGTATTTGATGTCTGTTTCCACAAACAGGATCCTAAGGGTAATGTCTTAAGTTTTTAAAATCTTTCCTGTAAGTGCCTTCTGGGTAGTGTGATACTAAAGATAGAATTCAGTTTCCACTGAGATTTGGGGTTTTTTGTTTTGTTTTGTTAATCAAAGACTGAAAGTTGGAGCCCAGCATGGGCAGTCATGTCCCTAGAGCGCCTGATTGACGTATATAACTGAGCAGGGACTTCACTGCAGGTTCTGATTCTTTTTCTTCCATGTCTCACATCAGGTCAGCTGTTCCACACCAGCCTCTGAGATCAAAAGCAATTTCCAGGCAGCTTTTCTCTGCTAATGGCTTTGCAGATGGTGTCTAAAGGGAATAGGCAGACTTAAAGGTTTTGAACCTTGAGCCTCCTGTTTTAGAATCTTGAAGGGTGTCAGGGGCCCTTTTAAAACTTTCCCTGTTGTCATTTCAAAGCCCCCTCCCACCAGTTTGGTTCAAGGACATTTGGAGCCAGTGGGGGCACTCGGGCTTCTCTGAGTTGAACCGGCTTCTCTGAGTTGACACTGTACTCTGGGATGTTAAACTTGTTTGAAGTGACATTCCAGAGGAGCATTGAGGATGAGCCTTAAATCTTTGACCCCTTCCTCGTAGATCGTTCGTGTCCTCTGGTGGTACTACTTCTCCAAACTCATAGAGTTCATGGACACCTTCTTTTTCGTCCTGCGTAAGAACAACCACCAGATCACCGTCCTGCACGTCTACCATCACGCCTCCATGCTGAACATCTGGTGGTTCGTGATGAACTGGGTTCCCTGCGGCCACTGTGAGTATTAGAGAGTTGGGACCGGGACCTTTGGGAACGGGTGTGAGCAGGGAGGCTGAGTTGAAACAGACAGAGGCTTTCAGAAAAGATGCTGTTTCTGTCTATTTCTAGATTAAGCCTTTGAGCTTTGTGTCCAGCCTGCTTTCAATGATAGTTTGTTGCAGCCTGTGCACACAAAACCCTGTTTTACTTAAGTAAAAGTTCTGTGCTGATTGGGGAGAGAGTAAGGCAGATTAAAAACCAGGCAGGGCATATTAAGAAGCAGGGACAGTGTTCCCCATCATGGAGGTAGGTGGCTGCTTCAGGTTATTTCTGTCCTGGTTTCCCTACGGTGTGGAAGGTGTTTGCCTGAAGGGGTCAGGCCAGGAAGATGGAATAGCACTGTGGCGTGAGTACCAGGGAACCAGGCTAATTATGAAATACAGCCTTAACTAAGCCGTGCAGTAAGCAGTCTCCACGTGTTCTAATCACTCTCACGTCCATGAAGCATGGTTATCAGGGTGTCTCCTATGACAGGCACCAGAATTGGATATAAATCCTCTAAGATTCTGCCTGGTTTTTGGAAAACTTGGGGTCTAAAGTTGTAATTTTCAGAGATTAAGTTGTCACCTTCAGGTTCAGCTTAGGAGGTTTAACTAAGGTCTCAATCAGAATTCCTGTCATTTCGACGTTGAAGAATTTGGGCACCTCTGAGTGTATTCATGGTTGCTTCTCCCTAGGATACTACTGCCCTTGATCACCTCAGCCCACCAAGATTCACAGACTCGTGAAATTCTAGGCCTAAAAAAAAGCTTTCCAGATGCAGCTTCTGTGGGTTTCAGGAACCTGAGGCCCCAGAAGGGTGGGTGGAACTTGGGCCTGCCACTCCCTCCCTTCCTACCACCATCACGGCTTCTGACTTGGGTTAACTGGCCTAATTTACTAATAGAAATGGCCCCTCCTTACATTTAAAGACTGCTTTAAATTTTCAGAGAACAAATTTTCATGCCAAGAGAAACCGGCCGAGAGAACGGATGCGACCTGTCCAAAGTCACACAACCAGTTCCTATCCTAGCCAGGGTTAGTAACTTATTCTGACACCACAGGGGAAAAACAGATAGCTTTGTTTGGTTCTCACTGTCAGGGAGGATGACAAGAGTCTGAAAAAAGAATTAGTGGTCCTACTGGGAATTGAAAATCATGTGACAAGATGGATCTTTTATCCCTAAGGAACTGGACTCAATTATTAATAAAATACATGACCTCGGCACTGCAGTCCTGGGTAATAATTAGAAGGTGACTTCCAAGGTTTCTCCAGTCGTCAGCAAATGTGTGGAAACAGCATCCCTGAGCACACTGCCATCGGCTATCTCCCCAGCCTCCAAAGGAGTGGATCAGAGACAGCTGTGCATGCAGAGGACAGCAGCTGCCTGGGGGAGTTGGTGGGGGTCTGGTAGCAAAGCCTACAAGTACCAGCAGGGGCAGGCAGTGTCGCAGCTGCTATGTCGGATGGCCCTCCAGCAGCTTCAGCTGACCCCTGGGCTCAGAGCATCCCGATGGCTGTCTGCCTCGTGGGAACTGAATTCTCAGTATATGTCCATGCAGTGCTTACTGCTGCAGTCTTTGCCAGCCCCTATGGGAAGGCATCTTTTTTCCTGATTCAAAAGGATCTTAGAGACTAGGCACAGTGGCTCACACTAGCACTTTGGGAGGCCAAAGTGGGAGGTTTGCTTGAGCCCAAAAGTTCAAGAGCAGCCTGGGCAACATAGCAAGACCTCATCTCTATTTAAAAAAAAAAAAAAAAGCTAGGCTTGGGGGTGTGTGCCTGTAGTCCCAACTACTTAGGAGGCTGAGGCAGAAGGATCATCTGAGCCCAGAAGGTCAAGACTGTGGTGAGCTGTGGTGGACTCACTGTACTCCAGCCTGGACAACAGAGTGAGACACTGACTCAAAAAAAAAAAAAAGTCCTAGCCG